GCTTTGCTTTGGGTCACTTTACTTGTCACGTGCATGCCTAAATCTCTCCGCCTAAATAAAAGATAAATTTGTTCTCGGGGCAAATTTCCTTTTCTTATTGGTCGGGCATCACCTTCAGGCTAGCTTGCATTATCTTGTCTAGAATTCAGGACACTGGATTTTTTTTATTGAACTGAACTTTTTAGAACAAGAAGGATGCCATTCTAATAGAATATGTTCCCAGTCAGATACTTGGATGATCTCAGCAAGCTTATAATTCTTATGAACCTGGATGCCATAAATGTAAATTATCATTGCAACCTTTTTAGTTGACAACTGAAATCTACATGAGTTAGTGCACTACAGGAGGTAACTATGCAATCAGGCCACGCTTGTTATACACTTATACCACACTGTCAGCTTACACAGGTCAACTTCCTCCTCAGTCTGCTATGCTGCAGGTACAGTTTAATCATGTTGAACCAAAAGACCTTCATCTAGTGATTGATGAATTACAAATACCAATCCCGAAAGAAAAAAACTCTATTGGTTAGTGAAGAATTACAGGACTTCCAGCGGTTGGTGCTATGAACTTATGGTCTCCTCAGCAGGACCAGAAAGTAAGAAACAAATTCACTTGCCAGACTGGACTTCCAACTTATGGCCATCTTGTTTGGTGCTCGAAAAGAATTACAAGAAGCAATTAGAATTTTGCTGGAAGATAAGCACGTGAGTTAGCAAGATAAAGAAGAAACAGCACGAAGATGAATCAAACTATTGGAGCAAGTAGAGGCAACGGGAGGTGGGCAGTGCAGTGACTATGTACTTGTGCATAACGTTGTTGCTGCCTTGATTACGGACAAAACCACTACAACTAGTAGGCAGTAGCATAAGCCAGCTTTCAGAACAATGTTGCCAGGCTGGCAGCACTGCACAACTGTCGGGGAGGAGAGAAATGCATCGACCACCAAGTAAACTGGCTGGTTGGGTAGTCTAGGATTCCTTCTACTCCTCTTTTGGATGATGGCTGAAGCTTGATATTCCAGTGCAAATCTTACTACATACTCCCTCCATCCCAAAATAAGTGTCGTTTATTTAGTACAACTTGACACTTATTTTGGGACAGTGGGAGTATAAATTAAATTTTAAAACGAACATTTCATCTACTAATTTAGCTCATCCATGACATTTATGAATTTACAAGAAACAATATGTTTAAGGTGAGCCTGGGAATATTAAGCTACATAATGAGCAATCTCATAAATTTAGCTCATCCATGAATGACTAACAATCAAATACAAGTTCAGCAATAGTAGAAACAATCTGGAAATACAACACCATTTTACTAACACCGGTCATATTCTTCCATCCAAAAAAAGAACACCAATTTTTCTCTCTAGATAACACGGTTTCCTACCACTTCGACACGATATTTCAAGTGGATATGCTTAGGAAAAACCAAAGTGAAAACATGGACGAAATGTGCACATCTACAGCAGAAATAGACAGTACTATCTACAAATCACTGCAAAACATGCCAAGAAAGACGTCCTCACAGTTCACTTGTGAGACAGTTTTGTACTGCCAGCAGCAGAAGCAGACACAGCTTATTATGTTGACATTTGGCTCAGCACAAAATCAAGCTTTGACATCTCAGACAACTTTACACTGGAATATTGACTGACCAAGGGTAGAGACAAACGATCGACAGTGAGAACACGACAGACAACTCATCGAACACCTTGTGGGCGTTGATGGGCTGATAGCACAACCAATCTAAATCTCACTAGCTAGCATAGATTCCACCCAAAATCATGGCATTCTGATAGGATGACACCAAGCTTCAGTCCTGACTGAAATTTCTAATTGCCAACACAGATCACTGCATAACTTGCATTCAGATTTTTCAGAGTAAAAGTTGGGGAAGTCTTACCGAGGCCTTGTTGACGAGGAAGACGGTCTCATTGTTAGATCGGATGGTGGCGTCCTTGTCCCGCATCAGCAGCCGCACCCGCGCCATCGGGAAGCTGCAGGTGCCCGGCTCGGCAGCCACCGGCGCCGCCCCTGCTGCCTTGCCCTTCTGTTTCTTCGCAGGCGAAGAGCCATTCTGCCCGCTCTTCGCCGCCTTTGGGGATTCCAGATCGCCATGCTTCCTCTTGCTCGGCGTGGCCTTCTCCGGCCCGCCGGAGGCCTGCTGCTTCTTGGTCGGCGTGGCCTTCTCCGCCTTGCCGGGGCTTTTCTTGGCGCTCTTTGCCTCCTTCTTCTGGGGTGTCTTGGTGGGTGTGGTGGCCTTCTCAGCACCGCCGGAGGAGGCTTGCTTCTTCTTGGTGGGCGTGGCCTCGTCCACTTTTTTGGCGCTCTTGGCCGACTTCTGGGGTTGGGGTTCCCCGGCGTCGTCGCGCTTCCTCTTGCTGGGCGTCTCCTTGGCCGCCCCGTCTGAGGCCTGCTGCTTCGCCTTCTTGGGCGTGGGCTTGGGCTTGGGCTTCCCCGCTTCGCCGGACGGCTCCTGCTTCCCGGATCCGGATCCGGGCTCCGCCGCCTCGCCGCCCTTCTTCTCCTTCTTCTTTGGGGTCGCCGCCGTGTCCCCCATCTTCTCCTTCCCTCCCTTCTCCCCCTTCTCCTTCTTCTTGGTAGCAACCTTCTCCCCCTTCTCTTTCTTCTCTGGCGCCGCCGCCTTCTCCCCCTTCCCCTTCT